ACAAAATTCCTTTCTATAAAATGCAATTCCATTTAGAGCTGTTTTCATTGTTTCCTTAGATTTATATGAATATTTTAAAATGGCTGTATTCTGTAAGCATTGGCCATCTCATTACTTCATAATGCGTAACATCATGATTGCAAATGAAAGACTAGTTATCACAGTGCAGAATGGTTGGAATTCTAACTGTTGCTATTTCCATGTACCACTAGTTAAGAGTACAATAATATAAATAATAGGAGATAGATCTTTTAAAACTTAGCCACTTGAAAAAGACGACTAAGAAAATGCATAATACTCATCATCATTCATTCATTTCTACCTTAAAAATCTTATGAAAATACGGTACCTTGCAAAAAGAAGCTTGATAAAAAGTTTGCCTTTTGCCACAAAGTTATATCAGCCTGCTCTGGGCTCATTCCCAAACACTATAGCATTTTTTTTTGTCTGTTTTTTTTTTTGTTTGTTTTTTTGGTTTTTTTTTCTTCCTTTGGAAGAAATATTTCCAAACACTATCCTAAAAAAAGTCTTTTTATATGAGTGTATGTTTATGCTTTATATGGGATAGCTAGCACACTTAATTTTTTCCTAAGGATTTGTAGAGTATGGACTTTGACATTTCTTTGATGTAAAAAATAAGTCTTTAAATTGTCACATGATGGCTTGACAGCTCTTAAACAGAAACAATTTATTAAATTTCATTTGTGACTTCTTATAAGTATAGTGTCTCTCTAAATATATATATATAAAGGCACGTGATCTGACTGATACACTTTGTAGAGTTTGGTATTATTACCTTGAAAAATATCCTTATAGTTTGGGGTTTTTTTGAACCCACTAAAAATAAGACTGCCATGAAGAGGCTGAAATATGTTGGAATATGCCAAATATGTTACCAATCTTAGGTTATTGTCTGTTAATTAATGTATTCTATTTCCATTAATTATGCCATCAACCCCAATGGAAGTAAATTCAAGATATTAAAGTATTCTAGCAAAAGGACTTCATTAGGTATAAAAGTCAGTTTGTTTTCACTTACAGCAATTTTGTGTTCTTGCATTTATGCTTTCCTTCCCATTCTTTGTCTTGGTTGACATGTATGTTAATTTAAAAGCACCAAGAGCAATTCCAAGAATATTCTTTTTCAGTATATATGTCCAATAGTATAAATACAGTTCACGTCAATGTCATTACAGAAGGTAAATTGTACCCTGTATTTTTCGTTCAGATGTGTTGTGGGTTAAAATTTTCATAAAAATTTTAGTCCATGAGAAGATGTACCAACTGTAAGTTCTTATAGGTGGCCAGGTTCTCACTGGATAAGAAAAATGTGATTCAGGGCATATAGTTGGGATTATGCAGTGATCCGAAGAGAGGGGTAGATAGTATTACCAGCCACAACCATGACTAGATGAAAGCTGACATACATAATCATAGGATTAAGAGTTCATTGAAAATTTGGGAGTTAACAACACAGCCTTTATCTGGATTAATAAAGGAAAAGTCCTACTTATAGGGATGCTACTCTCCGAGTTTTAAGTATCACATTCATACACCTAATTTGACTTGCGTATCAGTGAATACAAGGAATCATAACAACAAATCTAAGGAATAACCAAGCTGAAGTCAATGTAAAACAGGAAGAATCCAGGTCTTTGATTTTGTTATACTTTATTATGCAGGAATCTTCGGTATTCTTATAGAGGAAGATTCTTATATATCAGACTTCACTTTTCTCTCCATAGCTCCATTAAAGGGATGGACATATCTGTATCGTTTTTTGATTTTTGAAATTTGAAATGGCATTTGCACCAAATATACCCAAATTTTATGATATTTTGGAAACAATGGAGCTATTTCTATGTGAAACTTTTGTTCCAAAATACACTATTTTTCTATGGAAAATTAATTCCAGAGAACTTTCTTTTCTGCACCTTAAGTTAAACGGTAAATTACCTATAAATTACTTGGAAATTCTTAGTGCTAAGTCATAAATAATACACATTTAAGGAGTAGATATGGTTTGAATTCCAAATGGGGGAATAAAAGACTTCCCCTAGAAATTATAACTCAACTGAAATATAACAGTACAGATAAAAGTTAAAGTATTTTTCTTTTTATAAAAGAACTAACAGATCCATTTTGATACATAGGCTTTGTGTTCTACCACTGTTCTGTGTTAGGCATATATTCCTTCAGCGTTTTTTTGTTTTAGATGTTAAATATCAGCAGGATTATTTTTCACTAATTTAAGAATATAAAAACCTCACATTTCTAATGAAAATACACTACTGTGATATTAAATCTTGAAAATAAAAATGTTATGAACAGAAAAGTCTACAAGGACATTTTTAGAAGAGCTAATGAATCACAAAGTGTGAGAATGCAAGCATGCAGAGTTTAAGATTACATACGTCCACTTTGTATCTCTTCAGTCTTCTCTCATTAAGCTGGGGAACAAGTTGCAGCAAAGGATGCAGGACAGATGACTGAGAGGACACGAACACAGACACATGAGCAACAATGAAATCCAGACCTTATGATGCAAAAAAAAGTCTCTTCCCGCAGTATTGGCTTATGGACCAAACATGCACCAAAAAAGGACTGAAGATGTTAATTGAGAAACTTACTTTTTTAACATTCTGTCTTGACAACAAACAGGTACCGACATTTATATTTACGCTATGAATGTGACTTACAGAGCGATGGAGGGAAAAGCTATGCGTCCTCACCTTTACGCATTGAAAGTTCAGAACTGGTTACAGACTTCTTGCCCAGGCAAATGCAATTAGTCAGATTTTCATCAGCCTCTGTGAGTGGTACAGGGAATATTTCCATGCAGTACTCCTACTAACATTTCTGCAATTATCTACTATGGAAGTTAGCAGCTTCAATCTCCATTGTACTGAAAAGTTAATTTTGCTTCAAAATAACTTATATCGCAGCAAGAGAAATTGGAGGGTTTTTTTTGCCAGAAAACAGTGTGCAGGAGGGAGCCATTCTCAAGGAAAATTTGTAACCATGGCACTGGTCACGCTTTCTAAAAGATAAGCTCCAATCGTGAAATTCCTTGTGTTCAACAAGACTTTATGTTTGCAGACAGCCTGGTTAAGCACGGTGGCATTTGTGTGCAGCCTAAGTGCCCCCCTGGCAAGACACAGCCATGTGGGCTGTGGAGAGAGGTCCACAGTGAGAAATGAAATAGAAAAAAATCTATGTTACATCAACCAATTTAAAGCTTCAACTCATGTAAATGTAGTTTAAAAAATAATGCATTTTTGATACAATACTTCTTAGAAAAGTAATACTACAAAGAGGATTATAATATATGGAATAACTAGAGTTAGCAAAGTGTTAATGTACTTAATATGTAAAATGAACTTGCCTACTTGGTGCCAATTTTGCGCTGTCTGCCTAAGGTAGGCAATGTGGCATCATAAAGCTACAAAAGTAGAGGTCTGACATGTAGCGGAGGAGTTAAAGGGCGGCCCAGCTGGCCACTTGGGCTCTGTCTTGCAGTCAGTGGAGAGGGGTTAATAAAGCCAAAGAATGATGGATCTCACTTAAGTTAGTATCTCGGAGAACTGGGCTAGAAAATAGTCACCTGAACAGCTAAACCAGAAGCGAGAAAGGAGTAATCTCTGGGGGCAGGCAGGGGCAAAGCTATTCAGGGTGGGGACAAAAGGGGATGCAGTAACCCCTTAAGCAGGGGCAGCAGCAGAAATAGCTCATTTCATTGTGCCCTGATTACCATTAAAACCTCCAGAGCAGCTCTACCATGAAACACTGACCCCAATATCATCAATACCGCTTTCTACCACATTTTTCTCAGGAAATGTAAAGAACAAGGCAAAAATGGACATTAACATATAAGAATGCTTGTTAAGAAACAAGAAAATGTGTTTGACTTTCTCAAAATCCTATCGTGCACAGAAAAAAAACCATAGATGTACAGAAATAACAGATTATCTTTGCACTTTAAAAGCAAGAGTGGATCGCATGTAGTTTGGCTTATGAGAATATTTTTATAGCAACAATACTAAGCTATTTTTAAAATATTTTTCATTTAAAATATAATCTGAAGTCTGAGGGAGACTTAAATACCATTTTGCCTGATACATATTTATGACATGCACAAATAAATACATACAATTTAATTATTAATAAAAATTCATTAAGAGTTCCTGATATTTATTGTCACTTTCTCAGCTTCTATAAATCCACATTGTTTCACTGCATACGTTATCTTCCAGTATCAGAAACAAGTATTTGATCTTACTCTTAGATGTTGTAAGTACAAGATTAAGATGCAGTTGGGATTCTATGAGTGTTTGGTCATTTTTTTGCACGCTTGGACAGTACTGATGATCCTCTCCCATGTTATTAAACACATTCTATATCTTAAACACAAAACTGCCAGTTCTGAGCTTGCTATACAGTTGGAGAGAACACTGCAAAAAGGAACATTACCTTGTTTTTACGTACAAGCGCACAGGTACTCACAAGGAGGTGCTATGCCACTTACCGTGATGTCTGGGTTGCCTGAGTCATGAGTCTTAGAATAATGAAATAAGAACTGTTCAAAAAAATTAAAAGTGGGGTTTTACTACAAAACAGGGTAAGGCTGTTATGATTTTCTTGACAATTTTAGTGTGATCATAAAACATACATAGAAATCTTACCCTTTTGGTGTTGTCTTTTTCATCTGAACCCTGTAGGAATAATAATCGGTAGAGAAGCTTTTATTTGTTAAAAAATAAGAGCAATGGGAGATTTTGATTACATTATAAACTTTTCAGTACCGGGTTGGAATATCGTCTTTCTTGACAGATATATTACATGTCTTTGCTTATCAACGTAACTACTCTTTTCAAACTCTGTAGAGAGCATTGATTACTCACCACTAGAAAAGTAGATGGGTTTAGCGGATGCTCCTTTGTATATCCCTAGCCTCTCATAAGTAAATTTCTTTCTTCATTGAGAGCTCATAATTTTTCTATTCTAGAGCAATAAAAACACTTGAAACCTTGTATCCAGCCTGGAGTTTATTTTCCAAACACTGGAGTCTCCCTGTTGTCTTTAATAGGTGTTGGGTTAGGGCACATAGCATTTCAGAGTAAGAACTGATAGTATTACTTCCAGCACCAAGTGACACTTCAGATGCTGGGTCCTCAGAATTCATTTAGACACTGGCACACAGAGATTAGCCTTCAGAAATGCTAAGTAGTCTTTCATGTGTGTTACCTGTGGTTTCTGGAGAAAACCCATGACCAGAAAACAAAGCTCTTCCAGCACACTGGATGCCTAAAGCAAAGAAAACATGAACTCAGGTATTATATTTCCAATCCTACTGCATGTAACCAATAGTATCAAAATAATAAAGTAATCTCTGACTCACCTGAGGCTGAGAATCTGTGGACAGGTAGGCGGAACATGCATCGTCTATCTGTAAAAGTTCACACAGTCTTATTTTAAGAAGTCAGATTAATAAAAAGAAGTGAAATAAGTATATTTTCAAAAACAGTTCAGTGCAGCCAAAGGTATGGCAAGCTTGCCCACCACAAGGAATTCTTACAGGTACATTCATGAATTCCCTTGTGTTCAAGGGAAAAAGAGGCCCTTAACCAGATAAGCAAATTTCTACTTGCTTGATCACAATAAACACATGCATATCTGGGTCATTTATTCTCTTACTCCACTCACGTCCCTCCTATTTGTAGCCTTCTCAGACTAAGTCATATTTTAAATTATGATTTTAAACATCTGGGATATGGACTATGAACTTACATTTCTTCTGTGATATCTTTGGATTATACAAAACTGCAAAGAAAATGACAAAACTAAAGCAAGTGATTCAAAGAGCAGTCCTCAAACACCACTCTTCCAATTGGATTCCAGCATCCCAGTAGATGTATGGCACATGCATCTCTTGAGTGACTATGATATGTGCCAGCACATCTTAGCATGTCAGTCAATTTGTGTGAGTCACCAAGCAGCCAATATCCAAGTTTTGCACTGATTTCTTTGCAAATGAGGAGCCTGACAAGATTTTGTTTAAAGGAGGTGGTTCCCAAATCTCAATGCTAGTAAGAAATATACTCAATATATTTCAGGGGACCTAAACTCAAAGAGCAGTGTGGAAGAAGTCATTGCTGTTGAACTTGGACATGTCAGCACAGAATGGAAAGTTACACATGTAGACACAAAACAAAAAAATCCAGAAACTGAACCAAGAAGCCCCAATCCCCACCAGCCATTTCATCTGGATCAAAACAAATGTCAGTTTAGCTCTGCATCTGTCTCCAAAAATGGCCATACACTGACACCCAAGGAAGAGCCTAAGAAGAGACCAGTGGTCTAGTAAAACCCATGCTCTCCAACCGCAGTGGATTTCTGTGCTCTGAATTTGATCAATCTCTCTCTGAACCATTGTAAACTTTTAGCATCCACAGTGTCCTGTGGTAAGGGTTTCCTAAACACTGCGTGAAATACCACTTCTCTTTCTCTTAATCAGTCTTTTCAAAGCTAGCTTCATTCACTGCTATCACGATCTTGTCTTGGAAGAGGTAATGAATAAGTGATTCCTACTCATGGTCTCCCTTCTGTTCATGATCTTGTGTAGACAATTGATCACATGCTCTTTCTCTTGTCTCTTTTCCATGATGAAAGTATCCCATACTACTGAATCATTTTTAGCGGAGCTATTAATTGGGGAGGGAGAAGAAAGGGAATAAAGGACATTTGAATTCATGGAAATAATATTACCAGTGCTGAAAGCTCAAAGTATTCTGTAAGGAAAAGAAAAAATCTCCAGTAGTCCAACTGAAGCTGCACAGTTTAATAACAATGAAAAACAGAGGCTTAACTTTTCATTGTATAACTTTAAAATTGTATCAATAGTAACCTGTATTGGTAGGCACCATTTCTTCCATTGAATATTTAATACTGTTTAGCTAGATGCCAAAAGCTTTGCCAATCATCTAGTTCATAGACTGCACAAAAAAATGGGTTTTTTTAGATAGAGTGGGCAATACAATGGGTCTAATGATTTTATTATAGGTAAAAAGCCCTAAACAGCACTCTTTAGCAATGAAAACATCAAATGAAAAAAACAATAAACAAATAATGCATATCTGAGTACTTCGAGACAAGAGATGATTCATTTCTCTAGAGACAATCTACAAGAAAACATTAGCAGAAACAGTGGGAAAGCTAATAGCTTACAGAATTCCCCTTTCAAGTAGTTTTTGTTGGTAACACATCCTCCCCATTCTCTTTTCCCTTCATCTTGCATTGTTTGTCTCTGGGTACATTAGTTCAGCTTCACTACTTTCAGAGTAAGAAAACGTAGAGGGAGAAAGCAGCAGTTAAGGAGATGATAAACTAAGCTGAAGTTATTTTGGAAGCCTATGTTACAAATTTGCTGTTTCTTCTTGTTGAGAGATTTTTTGTTCTTTTTTATTGGTTTATTTGCTTCTTTTGTAGTTGGAGGTGACTATTAAAGAACTACCATAATTCAGTAGCAGGATAAGCCAGAGACTGCTTTGTGTTCAACACAATGCAAGACACGGTATCTCTCAGCTAAAACCTGCATGGACAAAGCAAGGGCTGAGGGGAAGACACAGTTTCTGTTAATTCCTTTTTAAAAAATAAAAATTTAATAGTTTCTATCATCATCCTTGAAGCATCTTCTCAGTAATTTTCTCTGCTATCTCAGAAATGCGGCCTGAGGGTGGGAGCTTGCGAGTTGTTTGGGGTTGGTTAAATAACAAAGAAAAAAAAAGGATGTGAGAGACAAGTAAAGGAACACAATACTTAGTTACAAAGTTCTCATATTTATAAACTGTGAGTCATTTCTGGAAAATATTGGGTTAATTTAAGGGCAGGGCTTCTCCTGAACGATCCACTAATAAAGCAACAAACAGGGAAGAACTGATTCTTTTTGTTCCAAGAAACGCTGGTGAACTAATCTAATCAGGTTGGTTTAGGTATATAGCTATGCATCTGATTCTCTTTCCTTACACCCTCTCCAGTCCTGCATTATTCTTGCTACAATAATAAGTTTTATATTGCTTATATTATGTAATTTTACACATAGAATTTAGTATCTTCTGCCTACTTTTTCATTTGCTGAAATCAACAGGATCTTTGCCTTTGCCTCCAGTTCCCATAGGGACAAATCCTGTGTTACAAATAGCAAATCTTAGCAATAGATGCAGAAATGTATAAAACAGCATTTTTCAATCCAGAATGTGAATAACTCATTTTCATGAGCTCCTTAAAGCTATCAGGACCTTTCTTCCCAAGAGACCACTTTTTCCCAGGAGGTAAATGTCACCAGGGCTTGCTCAAGTGCCAGCTTAGAAATACGTTAGTGTTTGAGTCAACACTTCCAAAACAAACTAAGGGGAGCTGACAGCGAGGGAAGCGTCTCCTGTCATGGCGTCGATAGGAAGACATTTACTCCGCATCTGTACCCTGGTGAGTCACTTGCTTTCTAATGTTATCAGAAGCTACAAAATTAAACGTCAACAGAATACTTGAAGGTTACAGCCACGCCAGGGCATGCCAGTTGCAGGCTAAACCCTCCCTGCGTGTTATGCCCTGCTTCTCCATCTGTTCCAAAAGGGCAGGGAAGAGCCCGTGTTAACACACGTGTCACATCCTAGAGCCAAAAGAAATGTTGTTCATTTCAAAGATGAGAGTGGAAGTTATGATAGCGATCAGTACCAAAGTGTTAGAGGGGCTAATTGACACAGTACATTATCCTTTACCTAGTAAATTGAGAGGCTAGAATAGGACTAAATACAGCGTCCCAGCCCGGTGTGCAGAACAGAAGAAGCAAGAGGTAAGACTGGATGAATTGAAGCAATTACTGCACATCGTGTACAGACTATAAAAATACCAGATGGGACACTGTGTTTCTTCCAGGGACAGTGACTGTCTGGTCATTGACAGTTATATGACAACTGTTATCAAACATAGCTCTCCAGTGAGCCAAGACAGCCTTTTCCCCCAAACGACATCTCAACACCCAGCCTTAACATCCTCCTGGAGCAACTGTTCAGAAAATCTGGAAAATAAGATGTTTCACCTCTTCACTGAGGTCAGGATAAGAGATGTACAGGAGAAGCAGGACTGGATGAAGAAGCACCTGAACTCCATGCAAGAGAAATACTGCAGAGTGAGGTGTGACCGTAGGAAGGATGGGCGCAGAAGAAATGGAGTATACCATATGGCAGCGTGCAGATGATACTTACCTCTTTCCACAGCTGCAAATCCTGATCTGCCTTGAGTGCTTGGGTTGGCATCGGTGCACCTGGAAGCACAAACCATGCTTAGCAATACTGTACAGCAAAGGTCGTTTTTACAAGTAAACCATGTCAGTGATTTAAATAAAAACTCTGAACACAGTATGATACCTAGCACACTTATCATTGTCCAGTAGTTTCTGCCTGCTGTGTGTCAGCAACACAGCAAGAGGCTTCTTCACAAGTTCACAGCAGATACGGATGCTCACATCTCTTAGCAATAAAGAGTGTGGAAGTTACTCCACTTTCACCAGGGGTCAGGCTGGCATTAGTCTGTTCTCAGCGATAAGTAGCAGGCAAGAAAATTTGTGTGGCAGCTCTCAAATGCTAAAACCTGCTCAGGAAAACACATTCCAGCACCTACAACCTCGAGCTTTCTGAGAACTCAGCTTGCCTCCAGTGCATGCATCGCAAGTTGAGAATCTGGATCCTACCTCTTGCTTTGTTTTATGTTACAGTTAAACAATTAAACACGTGCTATGTAGTGTATGCTTGCATATGAATAATACCTGTGACATGAAAGTAGCATTTTTGAGGTGACAAACAGTCATATATAACTAGCTTTGTTTCCTCTGTCTGGCGTATATGATGTGGAAAAGCTCAGTCCCTTAGAAGACTGAATGTGTTATTAATTGCATAATGCTGCAGCAATGCTGTGCTTGGCCTGCGGGCAGCTCCTTTCTCCATCTCCGCCCACCCAGGCTACAAACCTGGAATTCACTGTCTCTGGGTCCCTCCTGACCCAGCACCAAGAATATCCACCTTTCCACACTGTTATTTTACCTGGCAGTATATTTCTAATAATAATGTATTATCAGAGTCTCTGGAAATAGTAGACATGAGCATCACTAAATTGTGATTACACTAGAGACCACGCAAGCATATCGATGTGGGGATGTGTTGTAACTCACCTGGGAGGGAGACTGTTCCTTGGGAAGGAGGTGCTTTATCTGTACAGTCCTAGCACTGCAGGAAACACTATGAAGTTGTCTAATTTGTCCCCCTGCCCAAAGCTGCTGCCATGAGCCATGCCTGATCAGTTTATACACTGTTCTTAAAGACCTCAGATTAATAGAGATTTTATAACCTCCCAAACAGTCTATACTTACCTGTGGTCACATTTTTTTCAGAGAATTGAACGAAATTAAACAAAAAAAGAGGTGAAGGTAGACTTAGCTAGAATGGCCAGGTGAGCAGGATATGAATGCCCATCATCTCCATTTGTTTTACTTGTACCACTAGTAACAATACTTACAACAGTAGTTAGTCCCAGGCATTAAGGGGTGGATTTCAAAACCACATTTTGGTACTTGCACAGACTTAAGGTGACTAATTATTTTGGATGCTTGTTTTCTCCAAAAAAAAGAATTAGAGGGGTGCTTAATTTCACACTATGTAGAAGTGGGATATTTTTGAAATCTCCAAGATGTTCGCATAACAAGAAAACTGCTTTCCAATGAAAAATTTGCTTTAATGGATGTTTGTCTTAGTTCAAGGAAAAACACCAAATAAATTAAAGGTACTACAATTCTCTTACTTTGTTGTCTATTCTTAAATTAGTGTATTCAAATTGGAGTATTGCCTGGGACTGGTAGCCTTGTTACCAAGAGTGGAACTGGGCATTACTTCAAATTAAAACACCTTCCCCATTAAACCTTTTCCTGCCTGTCTCTGAACACTGCTTCTGCCATTGTTTGGTTCCCATGGCTTTCCAGGGGAAGCAGAAGAAATCCAATAGCCTGCAAAGCTTAGGGAAGCAGCCAAGAAAGCCTGACTATTACAGCTTGCTTTTTTTTTTTCCCTCCCTGGAGCATAAACTTTTGGACAGAGGAGATGCATTTCATGAACTCATAAATTTCCTTAATCCTCCACTTATTCACAAAACTTATTTCATGTGCAGTCCCATCTGTTTTGTGCTCAGACCTAGGACTGTGTGCCCCCCAATGCCGAGCGGTGTCCCTCCATCACCCCATCCAGAACAGTGCTGCAGCCCTTAGGGACTTCAGTCCTTTCCACACAACGGCACACACAGGGCAACAGTAAGTTATCTCATAATATACACGAAATACCCATAGTGGGAGAGAAAAAGAGAATGCTATTGAGGAAAGCAATCCTATTCAAAAGGAACATAAGAGGAAATCCTCCTAAAAAAATTGACAGTCTGTGATATATTTGTTCTCTTATCCTTCAATTCTGACAACTTCTAAAAACTCAGCTTCTTCCAAGGCAGCAGAATGCCAGATGCACTATTTCAGTCACTTTTCAACCTGGGATTCGCTTCTTAAATCTTCTCCTCCCTCCACTGCTCTCTCTACACAACCTCCTGGCAATCATTTCTGTAAGAACAATCATTGCCATTCCTTACCCTCCTTTTCCTTCCCTCCCCTCTTCCACATCTCCAGAACTTATTTTTAACAGAATATTCAGTATACTCTACTTAGATTTCTTTGATTCTTGACATTTAAAAAAACACAGCACATCAGAACAAAAACTCCTGATGAAAGCAACTCACACACATGTGATACAAACAAAACAGAACTATTCCTTGCACAGCAACTTATTTTGTAATGTTACTTCACAAGGTATATCTAGTTCATCTATCTAGAGTCAGAAAATAGAATAAAAAAAAAAAGTATGTTTTGTTAAAAAACCCATTAGCTGTGCTCATGTCACAAGCACTCCCTGCTACAAAAATAGCAACTTTCAGGTGTAAGACAACATTTCAAATTAAATCAAGATAATCAAGCTCTATGCCTAAAGCAACTCAGCAGCTCTATCCTCTCTCACTTAACCCCATCCCCCGGGATTCCTCACAAAATAAATATTGCTACAGGTTGGGCTAAGTGACTTCCACAGGGTCCTGAATTTTCCTACAATTCCACGATACATCTCGTTTCTCTTTTCTTCGCTTTTAAATCAGAGTAAATTATACTTAAAATGAAATCGCTTTTAACAAAAGCCGCTTCCCCAGCTGGAGCCCGGGTTTGCCAGGACAGGGTAATCCTGCCGGGGTGCACGAGGAAGACCCCAAAACCAACCCCCGAAACGGCGCCCAGCAGCTGCAACCTCCTGCGCATCCCTGCACCCCCCCCAGCCCCGCAGCTGATCGGGTCCGGTCCGCTCCCAGCCCGGCCCGGCGGCGGGGCAGCGGCAGGCAGGCAGCGCCTCGCTTCGCGGCCCCCTCCCAAGGCTGCCAGGCTGCTGGGGTCACCTGCCCCCCCCCCAAAAAAATAAAGTATTGCAGGGCTGGCAGTGCAGGAAGGGGTTGCGAGCGGGATGCTCCTCACCTTTGCAGGCAGACATCGAGGAGGCGAGGAGGAGGAAGAGGAGGAGCAGCGGGGACCCCGGCAGCGCCGCGCCGTCCCCTGCCTTCCTCCGGCAGCGCTGGGGGGTGGCTGCGGGGGGCTGCTGGTGGCAGAGGTGTCCCATGCCCGCGGTGTCCCCGGCGCTCCCTCCCTGCCAGCCGCGCTTCTGGGCATGCCCTCGCTCCCGCCCCAAACTTTTTAAATCTCCCTGACACGTGGACGAGCATCAGCCTCATCAGGGAGGGCGCGTCCACCGCCCTGCCCGCCCTGCCTGCCCTGCCCGCCCTGCCTGCTTCCCCACGGCCACCCGCGGCCGGGCCCTCACCTCCTCCGCCGGGCAGCTGGCGACTCAGCCCCACTCCCACCGGGGGGGCAGATCCACGTGTAACCCTTGCTGGGGCTGGGCAGGCTCCAGGCCCTTTATTAAACCCCCTTTTTGAGAAAAAGCCATGTTTTTAAAAACACACGTAAAACCCCCTGAGCCCTGACAGCGGCGGTGATGACTAGCGCAAAAGGTGCTGCTTCTGCCTTGCCGTGCTCGACGGTTCAGTGATGACATGGGGGTGGCAAAGGGGACCGTCCAGACACTGTCCGATACCAGTGAGGAGCGGAGAAGAGGCATGGTTTAAGATGGGGAAATCTCATACAGATTTGCCCCCAACTAGCTGAACCTGGGAGTTAAAGCTCATGGAGCTTGCATGTGGGAGAGGCCGTCAGTGGCTGGGGCGGGGGGGCCCGCGGATGGGCACCCGTCTGCCCCGGGACCCGCCGATCGCTGGGTTTTCTGGAGGACCCCCCACTGCAGGAGTGTTACCAATTCTTGGCTTTCCCCATGCCTTAAATACACACACCCAAAATGCCACACCATGAAACAGAACTTGGTAATATGGTGATATTTGGGGATTAAAATGTTAATACGGTGCTTAGCAAGGCATTTTACTTAAGCTACAGCTGCAGACCTTGTTCCCACTTGTTATTTATGCCTGTAAATAGCCAAGGCAACTACATTATAAGATAATCAACAGCACACAGACCCCAAATCTGTAAAGACACTTGGGCAGCTTAGTCCAGCCAGCCCTGAAACACAGCAAGCCCCGGCTTACCAGACCTGCTACCAGAGCCTGCGGGTGCCTGAGCCACCCCGCCATGCCCACTCCCAGCAGGGTGCTGGGGCTGACCTGCTCCTCACGCCCGGCCCAGCAGCAGGGGCTGGCTTTCTCCAAAGGCACATGTCTGACTGTCTCTGCTCCCCCACCGTTTCCTCCAGGAAGATCCTGCCCAGCTGAGGTCCAGCTCCAACACTGAGATGCTATGGAGAGTGTTTCAGGGCAGCATCTCCAATTTAGCCTAGCTTTACAATTTATTTCCCATTTTTTCCCATTCATGCCTATCTCTTTGCTTGGTTGTTTTTTTCTGACTTTCAAAGGAAATGTTACAGCTTGGTCCAGCAATGAGACAGTGGTGTGATATTAGAGACTGTTATCTTCCAAAACAGTTCATTTTGACCATTTTGGTGGGTTTTGACTGGGGGGTGAATGATGGGTGGTAGAGTAAAACTGCTTGACAAGAGCGGTAGGTGTTACATGAAACAAAAGATAACTTTGATTTATAACCATAGTATTGCTGCCTGCTCTTTGCCCTTAACCTCATCAGTTGCATGTGCTACAAACTGCGTGCTGCCACTGTGAACACTTTGACAGGCCATCAAAATTTTGAAAGCTTTGCCAAGCAGCACGCTAAGATGCTATAAAATTCTTATAGCAATAGAAGGATCTTCTCTATCAATCAGATTTGGTAGCAAAGTTTCCCTTAATATGACTGGGGACAGAGTTAATCCTTGTGTCAATGGAAAGCCAGTACATAAATTAAAGAAGCCTGTGTTTTGTATGTATTATTGCGTTTATATTTACCTAATTAAAAGAGTTGTTTTAAAACAATCCAAATTGAGGAATTGCATTTGGTTCTGGTTTCTGTTACTAAAACCAGAAGACATTTATTTAGAAGACATTATCATAAATGGGAAGTCATCAGCGCTGAAAGTTATCTCCCTAATTTATCTTGATTCAAATACATGAATCAGTGTCCTGAGCCTTGGCCTGAGGAAGGATTTAATTTGTTATGCATTTTAATTAATACCTTCTCGTTAAATATTTACTAGATTGTGAAATAAAATACAGTATTTTATAAATGGAGAGTTAAATACCTGTAAACATTCTACAGCCGTTGAATGGTGCAGTGTTTTAAGAATAGTGAAAAAAAGATACATCTTGAATTAAACTTTATTTCCAGTTGAAAGAGCTCTGATTAGCCCAGAAACTGCTTTTTTGTGATATCTGTTTTAATACTGCAGACTAAAAAATTTTGCTGAGTCCACTTGCACAAAAACATTAAAAGAGATTTTGAAGAGGATGATAAAAATTTCCAGGTAGAAAAATTCTGATCTTTGATTTACCAGAAAAAAACATTTAATACTTCTCTCTATGCTTGGACTTGTATTGCTCCGTAATCTTTCATCTGCAAGAGCAGTGACTATTACATATGCAATCCTATTTGCCCCCTGAGTTACATTATCTGAATCCTAGCAGGCTACAGTCTTCCAGTACTTCCAACCCAGTATGAACTACATTTCATTTTAGACTATGCCTTTTTACTAAGAACAGCAATGTAGTTTTGCATTTCCTGATATATGGGTAAGGTAAACTGATTTGGGCATAACTGTAATCCTTCTTATCATATATTAGAAAAAAACAATATAACTTTTAGCAAAAATGTATATTTGCATTAAGCCCAAACTCAAGTTTATACAAAGACAATATTTCTGCTGAAATCTCTGCGAATTTTGACAAAGCAAGCTCTCCAAGCTTGAATCTCGGTTTATAGCAGATTTACATAGCTTATGATGCTCATCTTTACACAAGGAACTCACTAAAATGCAAGTAAGCATTCTCGTAAACAGGAGAAATAATACATCTTTCTCTATTGTGTCTGGGGTTTTTTTGTTTAATTGCTTGATGAAATTAATGTTACACTATTGCAGGAACAAAGCACATCCTCATTAAACGAATAGCTTGGAGGATGTTTTGGATGCTGTAATTAGCTGCTTTGAAATATTTATGTTCTTCCTAATGTTGCTTGAATAAATGTTAATTATGGCTAGTGGAAAGGAAATCAAAACAGCTGAGTATGTGAAACCATCATCTTCTCCGTCTTCAGGGAAGGCAAGGTCGGGAGGTACGTCACTGAATCCACTCGCTGCGTACACGCGCGCACAGCCTGTGAGGAGGTCAATGCATAGTGTTTTTTCTACGACTTTAACAAAAATGATGAGAAATCATTCCACCTACATCTGAACTTAAGCACTAAGACAGTTTTGATCCGTACTGCACTTTCTTCACCAAAATATTCCAAACTTTCTGGAGAGTGCTTGAGATGGGTCAGTGGGTGCAAGCATACTGATGTCTCTCACAGCTTCAGATGGGTCCATTAATATCTTTCCTCCTTCTGTGGAATGAACAAGTTGCATACATGGATTTTCTTCTTACTTGTTTATGTTCTAGAGAATTAAACTTTGGGGAGGCAAGTCTCAATAATCAATTAATACCTGCTCAGATATTGCACTTTTGCAAGGTATTCTCTCTATATATTACTGACTAATAATCCGCAGGAACTTGTGGCAGAACAGAAAAAGATCCATGAAGAAAAGTCACTGGAGACTCAATTCAAGAATCAGCATCTCTGAATGGGCTTTTATTAGTGTTGACTTAATCCAAAAAGATATTCACTTAGTAGAAGTCTTCAGGGATATCTCCTTATAAATAGGAAACAAACAACAACAGAAAACCAGCCATATAAGGCATGATAGGCCCTGTATTTTCTCAGCATATTCTTTGCTTATTTTATCCAAGATAATGCCTCAGGATTTCCTCTGTAAATGTAAAATTAAAATGACCTTAGGAGCCTCTAATGAACTAGTGAGGGGAACTTGTCTGAACTACTGGAAATGAGCACAGAAACACCAGCCCCTGGGGCGAGAGAGGCTCCACTAGGGAACAGTGAGGGGAGTGATTGCAGCTAACGTTCAGGGCTCTCTTCAAAAGTCCCAGAATGTTTTGTGTAAAAGGTCCTTGTGTAAAAGAGAGATGGCTGAGCTCTTTAATGACTAAAGAACATTTGATCAACAGATGACAGTGACCAAATTCAGTGAAAACATAGTAATCTTTCCAAAACAGTGGGTACATGTTTAAATTAGAGCTGAATTTGGCTCACTGCGTACAGTGAGGCTGAAGTCTCCTGTTCACAGACACACAGAACGGGCACAAATGCACAAGTCCTCATTCCTTTAGCTTGCAAGGAATCCTTAGAGGTAGAACAGGACATCTCTGAATTTCATCTCTGCATTGTTTGTAGTCTCAGCAGAAAGATCAATGTTCCTATGTGAAAAGTAATGCATGTAGAGAAAAATAACCCTTATTGTACCTATGCAGCAATAGGCAGTACACCAGCTACCATCAAGTAGAAAAGAGATACCAGAATCACCATGGGTGTTTCTACATGGGCACCATCTCATGTCCCAGTGAAGTTAAAAAAAGTGACATTGGATGTTATGAATCACTAGGAAATAAGTACTATTACTACTATTATAATTATAAAGACATAGCAAAAAAAAAAAAAAAAAAAAAAGAGAAAAACCTCACGATAAAAACCATTACTCAGCCTTTGCACAAGCCCCTAGTGCTTCCACATGTGGATTACTGCAATTATGATCCCATCGTTCCTTCCAGATGAAAATACAGAGAATTGTAATAAGTTCAGTGCAAGGTAAGTTTGACAAGACTGGGACTCTTCAGTGTGGAAAGCTAAAACTTAGAGAGGGATACAATATAGGTCTATAAACATATATGAAGGTAAGAACAATGTGAAAAAAGTTGAAGAATTACTTTTAACTAATTCTTAGAATAAGACCTGGAAGCCATGACTGCACATCTCATTTATTATATCCTGAGATGTTTCTGAATCAGTCCCGTGGAAATAAAAAGCTCTGTGTTCCATTAGACATCCCTTGCCTAGTTCATCATATTTAATCTCCATCTTTGGAGTAAGCAGATTTCATAAGAAATACACTCA